ACTAATTAACGAATATAATAAACATTGACATATTCACACTACTAAAAAGTTCATCATAAACAAAAAATAAAAATAAAAAAGTTATTATTGGTTGTTGTGCCCTATAAAAAAAAAATTACCCATCATTTTGATCAAAAGTGACCGCATTTGAATTTTCTATCATCATAAAAATAATATAATTTTGATTAATAAATTGAAAACTAGGTACTAACATATTAAACATCAACAATTACTTATATAAAGAAAGTAAGATAGGGAAGAAAACAATTTATGAACACATACTCAATATGTAATTTGTGAGTGGTGGATTACAGATAACAAATTCATAATCGAGAGTCGAAGAGTTAGGGAGTTCTCATACAATTCTCATTTATTTCCTTCATTCGGTCTAAAAGTTCCTATCAAAAAATATCAATTCAAAACAAAATATTTATATTATGGACAATAAAATGTTCTATAATTATGTATTTGATTAATAAAAGATTTAAAGATTGCAATTATAGATTAAATTTATTATTTTCAATAGAACTTTTTAGAAATGCAATATATTTTTAAAATGTATTGTTAGGTTTCAAAAAATTGTGTTTAGTGGAAAGTAATTATTTGAAAGCAATAATAATTATTAATTATCTTTTTTAGAAGAAATAAATTGAATATTAAAGGTATTGTTCACCATAAATGTGAAAATGTAAAAATGACTTCTTGTATCATAGTTTATCAAATTAATGTAAATTAATGGTTATTAAATAGTTGATGGGTTATTAGAAAATGACATTTCCTCTAATACTTATCAAGTAAATTTTAGTTGACGGATATCTTTTATAACTATTATGCTTTATTTTTAATGGAATCTTAGAGGAATTTTGTATGTGTATATATATATATATATATATATATATATACACATAAAAGCTTTTACTAATCATATATTGATAATCAGTAATAATAGTGTTTAATAGAAATTGATTGACTTAAATTTAAAAAATAAATAATTTTAATTTTGATAAGAATTGAATCTAGTTGAAATAAATTTAATTTTAAGGGTATTATTGACCATAAAATAAAAATGTAAGGGTAGAATGAAAAATTAAAGATATAAGAATAAATGAGGGTATATTGGATCTATAGCTAAATATGTAAAGGCAAAATTGGTAATTAGTTTCTCCTTAATCCTTTTAATATAATTGTAGATAAACATTTAAAAAATTTAGAGAAATTAAAGCGTATTTATGATTTTGTCGGGTGGTGGAATGTCTAGAAAGTGCTTGCAACAAGACCTTGGAAAGAGAGAGAAAGCTTCTTTAAAAGATGGGTCCAAACCACAATTGAAAAGTGTGTAATAAGTTCTGTTTTAATCCGCGGTTTTTTACACCAAATCAAACCATTTTTTCAAATCAAACCATTTTATTTTTCGAACCAAACCAAACCAAACCAAACAAAGCCATAATTTGCGGTTTAGTTCGATTTTAATCCTCTGTTTTACCTATTGACATTATAATAATATATCTAATATAAGTTAACATATAAGTTTAAACGAGAACTAATCATATTAAATGTTAAATTACATTAATATTTATTATGAAACCTATGAATAAATTATTTTTAAAGTTTGTTGCTAAAAGACGTTAATAGAACAAATACATTTTTCTTTATTTTTATTTACCTTTTCTTGTTTGATATTCACATTGTCATATAGCGATTAGTAAAGGTAAAATTACATTCTGCTATTATAGTTTAGTTAAAACTTCTTTCGTCTTGCTAGTGAGATGTAAATAAGGATTGAACGGAATATATTTAGATGTATAAAGATTGATAGAGTTTCGACTTATTGGGAATTGACGAATTTTATTCTTCAACTACTTTTATGAAAGTAGAAAGTAGTAGTACTAGTTAGGAAACTTTAATATTTTCACACAATCAATACTATTCGTCCCTCGTTTTTTTAAACCACAAACACGTTCATTAATTATTTATTCACACAAACTATTATTTTTCTATCCAAACCACAATTCAAAAGTGTGTAATAAGTTCAAAAACAACAAATAAAATAAAGAACAACGAAAAAATGACTTGAGTGAGAATCTGAGACTTATCGAAAGAGAAAAAAAAAAGAGGTGATTCAGATAGAAATTAACAAACTAACAAGTAAAGGCGACTGGCGATTCGTTTTATAGTCGAAGACAAGCGTCAAATGTTAGGAAAATGAGAGTTTACGTTAGGGCTTTTGAAACTTTGGACATGATTTGCTAACATAATTTTGTTGAATTATTATTTGGATTGCTAATATATTTTAGAATAATTTTAATTTAGTTTAGATATCAGGTGAGGACATGTGTTTTGAATTTGTTAAATCATAGGTCAATAATAATGAAACTAATTTACTTTCAATGATTATTTCAATAGGCTGATTGTAATTTGTATTGCTAAATTGATATTTTTCTGAAAAGTGAAAATTGTAAAATTTTTAAGTTAATAAAATTAATGTTTTAATTAAAAAATTTTAAAACAGTTCGGTTCAGTTTTGTGCGATTTTTGAAAAATTAAAATATAAACCAAACCATTTTGAAATGATTTGGTTCGATTTTAGGGGGAAAAAAAATCACGGGTCCACGTGGACCTAAATCAACGATTTCGCTTTGGTTTGCGGTTTCACGATTTTTTTTGTACAGCCCTATCATATATACATACTTTTTATAAATTATTCGTTTTATACTACTATTTTTTTATACTAAAAATACTACACTTTATGTAGTAAAATTAAATAGTACAAAATTGCCTCTCTCATTGATTTCACGTTTTGAAGCAACTATCAATTAATCCCCCAAACACGCTCCAGCTGCATCCCTATTATTTTCAAAATTAATCCCAGATAAAGGGCTCTCTCTTTGAACACAAAATCGAGAATCCCCCAATATTCAAAAAGTTTCACCAATACATCATAATCATCTCTATCTTCAAATGAACCGAACCTTGTTTTACATCATATATTTCGCAAATAATCGATACAAATCCCTGATTTCTATACCCTTATTTACAAATCCCTAAAACTTGTGTTGACATGCCTAATTTAAGTATGAAAATATGCAGATCCAATCTTTGTCTTATATAATCTTAAGATTCTATAAAAAAAAAAAAATATGAGATTCATACTAGGAATCCGCCAATTTGAAGCTTTTCGTTGAGTATGTAACCCATAGTAGTTTATACTAGTATTCCACGAACCTATGACCGTGAAAGAGAGTAAATATAATATCTTTGTTCATATATCAATACACTAATATCATAAGATGTCATCACCAAATTGCAGCTCAACATTGGGGTCAGGGAAGACCAAACAATCGATCAAAGGTGCACCACATCCTCCTAATCCATCCCGTCTTTTGTTAATGGGTTCTAATAAGAATGGAAAAGGAAGATGAAGGAAATCATCATTGCATATGATCAATTCAGTCTAATTCCAAGGTGTTATTTATTTATTTATTATTAATTTTTTTTTGGGAAATAGTGGTCTTTAAGGGATTACCCAACCCTAAATAATTTCACCTTAATGCAGTGGGGAATTGTTTTTGTTTTGGCATGTTTGGACGACGCATTGATCCTGTTTTGTGAATATTCTACTACGATATTTTTATATTAGTTATAATCATATTTTTGCGTGAAATGAAATCATTATTTTACATATTGTCGTGTTAGAATCAATAAACATGCACCTGTCATGTTATATATATATTTCACATATTGCCATGCTGGTATTGGTGCTTGCAATTGGAGTGTGATGTGTGGTGGTGGTGGTTAGGCAGTAAACACCAAAAAAAATTGAGATCAGATGTAAGAACTCACAAAGAGTATATGATTTTAATTGCAGCTTTTTGGCTGTAGTGTTGTGAATTAATGTTTGAGCTTACTCGTGATTTGAATCATTGGAGGTCACATGAACGCCATTTAGTTTCTCATTGTTTTTTCAATATGTTTCATTCTAATATTATCATACTCGCTGATATTTTTCCTGTTTAGCAGACATAATGCTTGTTCGAATCATTTAGACATTTGCAAGACATAAGGCGAGATATTTGATGACAACACATGGACATATTCAACTTATGAGTACTAAAATCCACCACCAAAATTGAATTCAAGAAAAAATAATACCCAATATTCTAACTATCGTTTCCAGTTTGTATATCAAAAATTAGCCATGAATTTCTAATAACAACCAACTTTTTTCACTCAAATTTTTATCCATCTAGATATCTACATTCCTAGCTCTTTCCAAATTTGCCATCTCTTCTTCTTCACTTTGAAAGCCCCACAAGAACCTAAAATTTTTGTTAGATGCAAACATACACTTCAGTTGCAAATCTCTAATTTCAAAAATCGTTGTCATCCCTGGTGATTGTATCCTCAAGCATGTTGCTTTTTTTTAATAAAGCTGCAAGCTGAAATTTTCAATATAGATCAAACTGCCACTACAGTTGTAAATCTCTAATTTCAAAAATTATTTTTGTAACTGGCAAATAATTGGATTACAGAATCATAGATACAATATTCCGAATATAATAAAGAAAAAAATTACGTTTAGTCCATTTATCTATAAAATCTATGAAAGAAAACATTGAGATATATCATCAGATGTAATTTTGAATAGCTAGTTATGAAGTTTATCACCTACAAATCACCGATTATGATCATATATTAATATCCTATTAATAGTATAATGCAAAGCAATGTAATTTGAAATTTGAATTTCTATATGTTAAGCAATTCCAATTAATGTCACCATCTTGAATTTCCTTTATATATTTCAGTTACATTTGAAAAATGGAAAGTTCAATATATAGTAATAGTGGGATTCTAAAAGAATTGTGTAGTAAACTTGGTTATAATTTAGGTTTAGTAGTATAAAATGAATTATTATATATTAATTGGGTGTATATATAAATTTTTCCTACTAATATTGCTTACCATATTCTGAACCTTCTCCAAGGTTTAAAAATAATAATATAAATAAATAATAAAACACCATTATACCTCTAGGAAAATCGAATTCGATTTATTTGTAAATCAGGAATATGTGCTTTTAATCTTTTATCTACAAAAATATTTGCAATTTTCGGCTAAGGCTTTTATGCATAAAGCCATAAACCCTTCACGAATTTCGCCGTTAAAACTTTTTCCTTCTCTGTAAGTACCACTAATCTCTGCTAAGTTAATCTCCATCCCCTATTTGCTGAAAAGTTTTGTATATGTTAAAAGACTTATGATCACAATTTATAATTTTTTTTATTATCTAAAAAAGCACACATTTTAAGGGAAATAAAATGATGAGAGCTGAGTTATAAAAAAATTTGGAAAATTTCATCTTTTGAAAAACCCATTTGATTTATGAACAGTAAACTGGCTTCATTGTTTATGTTACCATTTTCGAAAATTTGTATAGTTTTTGTTACAAATTTACATAATTTGTTTGATTTGAGATGTAGAAGGTCTACTCGGTTAATTGTTTCTTTTGTGGAGGAAGGAAAGCCAGTAAAATGCCGCTGGGGCTGATAATGGGAATAGGGAGGGCGTTCAGGAGAAAGCGCACATCTTCACTTGATATTCTTACCTCAAAAAGGAGTCCTCGGGGTTATTACAAGGGAAAGAATTGCAAGCCCACAGGTTTCCACACTCGTAAAGGTATGTTTTCTGCACTATGTCCACATCTCTCTGTCTTTTCATACTGGATGGTGAATGTGCTTTGTTTAATTTTAATTTTACGCTTTGATCAGATCATCAAATACTTGGTAGGCATTTAGATGCTTTTTCAAGTTAGCAAAAGTGCAAGAATACTTTGAACATATTAGTGTTACAACAAAGTAAAAAATTGTTATGAAACTGTCTGTTGGCAAATGATATGGTAATTTGGTAATGAGTCTAGATCTTCCAAAATATTGTGAACTGTGCTAGATCTTTGGATTGATCAGTGATCAACATTTTAATATATTTTGATAACATTGGTAAAGTCAGCTTCATCTCAAAGAAAATTTTGTAATGAAAGATGCGCAGATGTCTTTGATAAAGTTTAAACCTTATACAGATAAAGATTCTTAGTAATGGAATTTTCTTGATCTGTAATGCAGGTGGTTATGTTGTGGTACCTGAAAAGTTGCCTAACTATGTCGTACCAGATTTGACTGACTTCAAGGTAATTTATCTAAATCCTTTTTTAATTTTTTCAAATACATGCATAAACAATGATAAGATTGTAGTACTTCAGTATTTCGATGAATTACAGATTCTGCACCCATTCATGGAAATGTCTTTATATCAATAAATTGTCTTGTTTTCAATTTTATTGCAGTCTTCTTTAGTCCGGCTAAATAGGGAACTATGCTAGTGGCTTTAATTCTCTCTTCATTTGTGTCTTATATTATAATTTCCTCTTCGAAAGCATTGTATACTACTACCCAACAGCTCCTCATTTGTGTCTTTCTCTTCCACCTTTTCCATTTTCCCCATACATCAATTTAAAGGGTAAGAGGATAGGCATAGCCGCAGAGAAAGATTAGTTTCTTAAATTAATAATCCATGATGAAGAAATGAGAAAACAGCCAAAAAAAATGTTTATTTATTTATTCTTTTTTCTATGGTATGAAGCTGGGGGATGTGTTTAACGGCAATGTGCCATATCCTCAGATTTAGTATGCTAAATCTGACTTCAGTATTCAAGGAAACTATTTCTTTTATGGATTATACCAGAATCAAGGTAGGTTCACTTGTAATGATATGCTTGACCGAATGACGCTGATGAGTGTTATTTGCATAATGGGTAAGACGATAGGCATAGCTGCAGAGAGAGATTAATTTATATAATTAATAATCCTTGTTGAAGAAAGGAGGAAAAAAACCAAATATATTTGTTTTCTTTGGCTATGGACATGGAGTAGGGGATGTGTTTTACGGTCATGTGCTATATCCTCAGATTTAGAATGCTTATTCTGGCTTCAGCATTCAAGGAAACTATGCCTTTTGGGGTGTATAACAAAACTAGGTAGGTGCAGTTGTGATGATATCCCTCATTGGTCAATTCATGGTAAATAATTATCTGTCGACACTTGAGTTTATGATGGGCAAGGGGATTCTGGACTTATCTGTTATGTGGAGGATAAATGGAAGGCTATGACTATTTATTTGTGTTGAGCTTGTCCTGGCCAAGATACATGACAATAGGACATTTTGGATATTAACTGTTTTGTGGAGCACTCATGGTAGGAGTTGTAAGCTGGATTCTTATTGGACACTGATGTCTTTATTTTTAATTATGAGAACGGGAGTGCAGACTTCAAGCTATTGGACCTATCTCCACAGCATATATTTGATAAACCCCCTTTTTAGGCCATGGATACCTGACATAAGGCTAGCTAAAGAAGATGTGAAAAGAGCTGTATGTTGTCAATGTTGATTAGGTTTCCTGGATTGAATCGGGAACATTGATATGCTTTTGATCAATGCATTTAACCATGTTCAGTGTGAGCCGTTTTCACCATGGTGCTACAATTATTTGATACATGGGCATCATAAGAAAGGTAATAACTTAACCCTCCCCTGTATAAATTATTTAGTTGCCTTGAGCAGAATCTGACTGCTATGAAGGATAGTACAGTTGTACAACAAGAGGATAATCAGTTTACAAAGCAGTGTGATTGTCACTAATGTGCAAACTTGCTCTGATTTGCTACCTCCTCTGGCTGCCTTTGACTTGATGCTTCAAGAATCAAATGAGTCCTAAGCAATGTGGTACTAAGTTCACTTTTGATTGTTTCGTTGCTTCTTTAGGTAAATTAGTTGAGGATGATAATGACCTGGATACTGGTGCTATTGAAATTTGTTTCTGAAACCGAACAAAGTAAACTAAAAGGAAAGTGGTGGTAAAGGGCCTGAATGGATTACCTCTGTGAGGCTGAAGCAATCTAAAAATAATAACTCTTCTTGGATTTAAATAAAACCAATAAAGGCACTGTGGTTACTGCATATATAAATAGAGGAGGTTCCTAGTATTTGATATAGTGGAAGCAAGTTACAATTGCAATTATGATAAAATGAAGGCTGGATTGCATAAGCTGGGAAATAGTGCTGCAATAAGATTTGTCAGTAGAATCTGTCTTTGATGGAATACAGCTGTGACAAAGTGAAATTGTACGGGAATAATTGCACGCTAGCATTAGTTACATAATAAAAGTAGACTCAATAGCTTTCTTTACTACTATGATTTCTGTTGAAAGTAAAGATGAGGAAAGAACACAATTATGAACTTGACTTCTTTATTTACGAAACGTCATTTGTGGACGACCTTGTATTATTGTTAGTGACATCAATTCAGTAAGAAATTTTGATGAGACTTCCTGGCATTCACACATCCTGCAGCAATGGCTGCTGTCGGTGATATTACTGTGAACTTGGAAATTTATGACTTCCAAGCAAAATGTTCTGGTGTAACAAAAGAGAGTCATGCTCGGGTATTTAGAAAGCTGGACTGGATTGTGGCATATGAGGGGGTTTACTCATGTTGAAGACTTGAAGCTGATTTTGGTGCCCCTTTGATCTCAAATCACTGTTCAGTAGTTGCACTCGACAAAGGACAAGTTTTGGCCCAAATCCTTTTAAATATCTTGCTTGTTGGAGGCTACGTTGCACTGACACTTTAATTAGGGTAGCGTATTCGTGTTCTACACGTATTGGACATGTTAGATGCCAACACTCTCGGGATACTATGTAATGGTCATTTTTCTTTTTGTATCAAAAATATTATATATTTTTAACTCTATTATTAAATAACAAATATTTACTCTTATTTTAAGTTTCAAAAAAAAAAAAAAAAAAATATATATATATATTAAGAGCTTGTTTGGTGCAGCTAAAAAGCCAATTAAAATCAATTTTTTCACCGTTATTTCACCATTACAATCGTCATTTTTGAATTTTTTTCTCACGGGTAGGACCCACTTTATCTCTAACGATCAAAAAATCAATTGTCAAAATCCCTACCAAACAAGCAATAATAACATGTATAAAATTAAATTTATACAATATAAATAAAGAATTTAATCAACGTGTCGACTATATGTCATGTCATTACGTTTTTAAAAAATTGCATGTCGGCTTGTGTTGAACACGTGTCTGCGTCGGTGCATTATATGTTGGAGGCAAAGCTCTTCGTTGGTTTAAGGAGCTGCTCATGGGACCCTTGTATGCTGGATTCCTTGTACTCCAATTTTGCCCCAAACACTGAAGATCTGAAGATGAATTATGAGATTTTAGCAGTTGTTTGGAGCAAATTTTTAGCATTTTTTTCTTTACCATTAAAAAGTAAAAGCCCAGTCACCATCATTGACCAAGAAATACAGAATTACATATGTAAGACATCTAATACACTAATTTTTGAAAGGACATTTATGGAAAATCAACTAATTTTGAGTTAGACTTTTACGGCTGGAAGGGACCCACTTTCAGTCCAACTGTCCAATTTTTCATTAAAAATTGGTGAGAATTTCCTCCAAACAAGGGCTTAGTAAAGTTCTCTTCTCCATTATTTCTGATTAGGTTGCTGCAGCTTGGAAAGAATTGGATTTTAGTCACAAGAATTACAAGCAAAGATAGCTGATGTCAGTTAATTGAACTTGAAAATAAGCAATGTCAGATATCTAGGGATACTAGTCAACTACAATGCCAAAGTGAGGTGTAAAAGGACTTGACCAGAGTTAATTGGACTCGACTGTACTTCCTATTTTCACACACAAGTCAACTACCAGAAAAAGGATGTTGAGCATCACCAATGTGAGGTGAAAAATATGAGGATTATCTAACATTTAAGTTTCACGCTTGAGATTGATGTTCTCGATGGTCATGGCTTGCTGCTATCCTTGAGCTTTTTAGGTTGCATTGCTGCAGGTTCCATCCATACTCTAGTAAAATCGTACTTCAACTACCATGTAGAGCGCTAGAACTTGGAACTTTAAGCTTGAGAGGAGGGACCAAGTGAATGACACTTGGTGCAGTTTGGCAGTCACCCGTGATTGAATTGTAGAAATTATGTTAAAGACTAAAGGAACAAGGTTAATCGCTGGCAACAGAAAGGCTAGCTATCAATCACAAATTCACACTGACAACATGTGGGGGTCTCTTAGGGATTTCAACAATCAAGGATTTCTAATTAGACCAGGCTTCTTCAATCTCTATATTTTGTTACCATTGAGTTCATCTTTCCATTTGTTGCAACTGATTTTAATGGTCGCTTTGGTTTCGTTGTTTGTATTTGTAATGATCGCATTGCTGATGCATTTTCCAATAAGGAAATTATAAGTTTAATCAAAGAGCAATTTTTTAACAGTCACTTTGGTCTATTGTTTTGTATTTGTAATGATTGCATTGTTGATGCATTTTTCAATAATGAAATTATAAGTTTTATGAGAACTTAGATATAGATTTATTTTATTTTATTTTTTTTCCAGTCCCTTCTCTCTGGATTCTTCATCCTTGGCGATCACAAAGTTCTGATCCCCAACTTATATTTAGATGTTTGTCTCGTGGTGTGGAAGTCTCCGTCATTAAATAATGCCTTTTGGCTCCCATAGAGTTTGTCCTCATCCTATAAGAACTCAATTATGTCACCCCTCCTATGCTAGTTTGTACTCCTGCACATGCTTGTGAATGAATGAAGTCATTAGGGAGGGATTCTCAATAATTGAAACATAAAAGCATCCAGAGGCAAAACATGCCAGTAAGGTTGGAGAATAACTTTTGGAGAGATTTAAACTCTGGATGAACCGATATCTTAACCAAAGGGCGTATGAGCCGATGTTTTGGTTGTTTGTCTGCTAGTTTGACCTCTGCTTATTAAACCAAGCTTGGTCAACTTTCAACATATTTGGGATAAGCTGTAGAGGGTAGCTTTTGTAGCACGCTGAATCATCATAATAGACTGGTAATGATCTGGATGACTAGAAATGTATTTATGTTCTTTAGCACGAACTTTATCAGAATTGGCTCGTTCCTAAGATTTTTGGTGGAGGACGTTCACCTACAGAACTGGAGGTGAGTCCAAGGCCTGTACCATCCTTCACCAATAACTTCCAATTCTTCTTCCATGTATCTGAACCTTTTGCATATAAATTACTGGAAGAAATTCTCACCTGCTATTCCCGACAGAGGAAGGATTAGAACAAGGGTTGTACCTTCCCATGTAGATTAAGAGTTACCCCTGATGGGGCTAGGGGGGAAAACGATCACATAAATCCGAGTCTTAATGACTATTAACGATCCTCCAATGTTTGATCCCGTGACATGTAGTGGTTGCTGATTTCATGAAGATGTCAATCCTTATTTCCTACTGGAGTCTTAAGATGGTTAGGAAGTTTCACTCATAACGAGTTCTAATTCTCTTTGTTCTTGTTTGCAGCTAAAACCTTATGTTTCCCAGTGTGCTAGAGAAGTTACCGAGGCGGCTGATTCAGCAAAGTAAATCGGTCCAATGATGAAAATGTTCAATTAATTCACTGAATTACATATTATGAGAAAGATTGTTCATGGGTACCTTCAACTTCTTTGCTTTGTTAGGGAGTTTTATGTATGCGAATGCTATGTTCTGTTAGTATGGATTGTGCGGCATTTATTTTCGCTTAAACCATTGCCAACTCATTTCAAACATGGTTTACATACTTCTAGGTTCGCTGTCGCAGGGATTTTGCGTGTCATCTTTACTTATCCCCATCTAGAGTATGGTTAGCATACAATATTTGACTAGACGTGTTTAATTTAATGTACTGAACATGTACGCAGAACATATATTTTTATTTTTATTTTGATAATTATGCCAAGTGGGTTGGTACTACTTTCAATTGCTTGCTCCTCAAAGAACTTCATGCTATTATTCCACACCGTCAATCTGAAAACAAGATATGGAGTTGGTGACACAATATTAATTATTTGATGAAACCTAAAAAGGAATATACCTCACGATATTGTTTGCAAATTTTTTTAATCTGTTGACTGATGTAAAGACAAGTTTAAAGTAGGGTTGTAAGCAAAAGTCGCAAAATCGAAAAATCGAATCGAAATCGCATTTTAGAAACCATCGGTTTGGTGCCACGTGGACCCGGTCAACGAAATGGTTTTGACTCAAATCAAATCGGTCAAAATGGTTTGATTTAGGTTTGAGAATTTTAATTGCGATTTAAAACCAAAACAGACCGGCGAAAAAATATATAAAAATAAAAAAATGAAATTTTTTGAAAATTCATCCAAATATGTAAAATTCAATAGTTTTGTCATTTGTGATTATTTTTGTCAATTTTTAATTTTCTAATACAGATATATTATTATTATTATTATTATTATTATTATTATTATTATTATTATTATTATTATTATCATCATCATCTAATAATCCTAATATATATTTAATAATTTTAAGACTAATATAATCTATCAAAAACCTTTTTCCTTTTTAAAATTTAGATAAACTTCAAATTATTATTATTATTATTATTATTATTATTATTATTATTATTATTATTATTATTATTATCTAATAATCCTAATATATATTTAATAATTTTAAGACTAATATAATCTATCAAAAGCCTTTTTCCTTTTTAAAATTTAGATAAACTCCAGTTGACACCCAACACAGTTTTGAGCAATCGGCACCACACACTTCTTTTCAAATTTTTCAAGCCTCTTCAAAGTCGAATTGAAGTCTATTATACCAAATCGGAGACAAAGAGATCCTAGACCTCCAGTGATAATATTTGCTACAAATAAAGTTTCAGATCAATAATTTTTTGAAGCAAACTAAGGTAAGAATTTGAAATTAAATGTGTTTCGTAACATCATACAAACGTAAACTTGTGTAATTGTTATGTTTAGATATTATAAACAATTGCTTTATTATTGTAGTTGGTTATTCTCTTTGTTTAATCAATATCTTTTTTTTTAGATATGATGATCACGAGGTCTTGTTGGACATTATTATGTTTTTTGGACTTTATATCTAATTTAGCAGACTTGTTTTGTAACGTTATTGTATCGTCATTAACCTAAAAAAGGTGAACAAAAATGAAAAAAAAACTATGTTTTAGTTTATTATAATTTTACTCTGATTTAATTAATATTTAAATTTATAGTAGATATATTTAGCCTCTGTTTGAGCCATATTTTTCATATCATCATAATGAGAAAATTGACTATTGGAGAGGAGGTTGGGTCCCACACATGAAATAGCAGGTCAACAAAGGCGGCTGGATTTGTAGAATAACCATCCAAATTTTCATTTTTTTGTCCCAAAAATTTGGTTTAAACAAGGATTTAGTTTGTTTTAGATTTATTACTAGTGAGATATAAATATATATTAAATTCAATGAATTAATGACATAAAAGTAGACGGGCAAAAAAAATATGGCGAAAACCAACGGTTTAAAACCGGACCAAACCGTTAGGTTTAGATTTGAGTTTTTTTCGAACCGTTCAAAATGGTTTGATTTAGGTTTGAGTTTTTCTCAAATCGTTTTAAACGGTTTGGTTTGAAAATTTGTCAAAAACCTGTAAAATCGAATCGCTTACACCCCTAGTCTAAAGTATAACAAGACAGATTAGGTTTGCTTGTTACAACCAATTTCTCCTTCACCAGTAACAAATGTCGATGTCTAAGAGCAGTTTGGGAATTGTTTAAAAATAATTTAATTTATAAGTAGATAAAAATGAGTGAATGTCTCAATTGGACAACGTATTTGTTCTTTATTCTACATTCATTAAAGAATTTGCAATATTAGTATAACAAGTTTAAAAAAATAAAATTAAATAAAATAAATGGGGAGAGAGACTAGGGAAATGATTTAATGGGCACCAGTGCTTAACTTATATTAAGCACCGATGACATGTCACGATAATTAATTGGTGATTCATTAAATTCATGGACCTATTATTAACTTATTCACCAATTAGATGGTATGCTATATTATCGGTGCTTAACATAAACTAAGCACCGGTGCCCATTAGATCATTTTCCTATATATATAGTTTACATATACTTGATGCAATGAGATATGATTGAATTAGAATTTCTTCAATCAAATAATTAAGGAAAAAAATTTCTCTACTCTGTTTTTTATATTTCATTTGTATGTAAATTATTATGTAATTTCTTATATGTATAAGTAGCATTATTTTAATTTAATTATATTGAATTTTTCTGACAGTGGTAATTTAGAATAAACAGTTATTTGTGGAAGAAAAGGTTCTTAGCTTTATATTTGCAAGATTGTTATCATTGGAAATTTCATGGTCGATATCATGAGTGATGCAAAAATAGATTTGAGTAATTTGTACGAATGACGAAAGCACTTTGCTAGGTCAATACTCTTATTGAGAGGCGAAAGCTAGGAAAGTGAATTCAAAGAAACTAGGCATTAACGATGAAACTATGCATTGTGCTACCAAAAGTTCTTGGGAAGTCTAAAAATAGAAGAGCGGTCATCTTGTGAGGTTTACTAATTAGATGCTTTCAGCGGTTATCTATTTTGCACTTAGTTAAATCTAAATTAACAATTAATTTTAATCACACATTTCATCATTTTTTATTCAAATTTACAGAAAAATATGTTAATTAGCAATTCCAAACAAGTGTTCGGCCGTCGTTTGGCTTGCATTCTTAAAATCTTATTTTTCCCTAAACTCATTTTCAATTACACATTTCAAGGAATTTCACAGCTTTTATCAAATTTTCAACTATAAATTTCATAAACTTATACTGAAGTATACCAAAATTTGATTTTTATCAAACCTAAATGGGTCTTAGTTTATGTTAATCATATTGGTACGTAATGGTTACTTTTATTGAGGTATTCAACTAGAATTTTTCGACATAAACGAGTCATCTGAGATGTACTATAAAATTTCTTTATTGATCAACCACTATATATTCATTGTGGCTTAGCCAAGTGTTTCCATAGCACGTGGATTCGTAGTGTTGAATTCCACGCCTCCGCATAGAATAAAGAAAAGAGAGAGCGTGAGCTTTGGTGCTCAGCCTTAGCTTGACAAAGTAATACTCGCAGACCCCACCTTGCATTCAGTCCTCGTCATACTTTTCAAACTCATTAAACCGTCAAAAAAGTTATTTTCTGAAGCACCCTCT